TGCTTCAGCTGCTGGTTAGTTTGCAGAGCTGCTTTAGGTAGCTTTTAGACAGCTTTTTCAAAGGAAATATTTTGCTAAAATTGGTTCACGTGAAAGCAAATTAAAGATCTTGAGAAGATGCCTGAAGTCCAGAGCTCAAAATGGTTGCCAAATAGTCTTTGCTTAGATTCAGTGAAGATTAAAAGGATAGGATCCAGATACATAAGTTTGTGAACTTTGATCTTGCCAAAAACAAGGACTGAGCAAGGAAGAAAAGTTTTGTTTTTTTTTCTTAAGCAGAAGAAAAAAAAAAAGGTGAGGTAATTCACTTTTTTTGCTTGGAATTGCGGCAAGGGAGGAGCAGTGAATTGACTGAGCTCTAATACCCATAGGGTCCTGGTACCATTTTGATCCTGAGAGATATCTTGACCAGAGGGGGTGAGAGGGCATCTGCAGTAATAGAACTGCCTTCATCATATTATCTATATTTTGAAAAACTCCTGACATTTCTAAATCGTGCTTTTCCTCCTCTGGCTTACTGCTTTTTGTGTTCTCATCATATATCTCACTTTATGCTTCTTATTAAAAGAATCTGTCCTTTTCAGCTGAAACAGTATCTCTTGTAGCATGGCTATGACTTGTGAACAGAAAGTCAATAACCAGTCAGAGCCTGAAAAAATATCCCAGGCCTTGAGAGAGCGGATAAGACTTTATTCACTGAGTTCGAAAAACAAACTACATTTACAGCATTAGCTTTCCTTTATAGAAACATAGCAGGCCCTTCTGTTTGTACTTATACTGTACTTTTACCTTCAAGAAAGCATGGCTGGACTCAGGCAAACATTCACAACTGCTAAAGATGAAGACAGCAAACTTCCTCTTTGCCTCAACAAGGGAAGATTGTTTGAAATACCAGAGCTAGGTGACCATTAAGCAGGAAGTTTCCCTTCAAAAATGTGTTTCAACATGCATATGAGAGAAGAAGGGATGTTATGATGAAATCCTCAAGTAGTATAGAATTTTTACATTTTGTCCTATTTTTGTCTTCCATTATTAGCAAAAGGTTTTACTTTTGATGCTTCTTTTTGCCTGAGGTCTAAGTAGGCTGAGATTTCTTAACCTGAAGCCTTGAATTCTGAGTGACTGTTTATGACCTGTAGAAGAAAGGTCAAATTTAACACCTCTTTCATCCCACTTAACCTCAGAATTAATATAACACACCTATTACCAAATTGCCGACATTTTATTCGAGACTGTGGAAAGAAATGTTTTCTCTGCTTCCTCTTCCCCCTCGAACTACTGCTTCAGTGTGTGACTCATTTAACCCTTAGAAAACTGAAGATGATCAGATAGCTTGTTTTGCCTATCTCTTTCTCACAACCAGGGACAGCTGAATTATGTGGTGCCTTGCTTGAAATTTTTTTCAAAAGCCTCAGAGTTTTTAGGCCAGGAACCCTCGAAACGTCTGCAATAAAATTAACATCCCCTTGTTGTGTGCAACCTTAAGAAGTCATCTATCTTCTTCTCTTGGCTGGAAGACAGACAAACCCTCTGAAAATCAGAGAGAGCACAAAGAAACCTTGCTTTACTCATGTGGGAGCCATAGCTATTACCAGAAATTAAGGAGTGGAAGGTTTTAGTAAGGTAAGCAAGGTTTGTTTGCCACTTTGGAAAGGACTTGGAACTATGTGACCTCAGGGAATGTAGCTGATGTTATGATAAGCAGAAATATATAATTACGGTTCTCTGGTATTACAGTTTTCTAGATTCCAATATCCTTGAGTGAATAAATTAGAAAGGGTAGCTTTTAATGAGCATGGGCATCAATTAAAACTTGTACTACTATGTAGCCCCCATACTATCATCCTTTTTTCCATGTGCCAAATAATTGATAAAACAGCTAAATGTGCCACAAATTATTAGAGCTAGTTTCTCTGATTCCACAAGAGAGAATGAGTTTCTGAAGTGGTATTAGAATATTTCAAACAATTATCTCAGACTCTGTCATACTCCCAACCCTTCCTAAAAAACCAGAGTTTAATCCATGAAGAAATTTTTCCATGTTCACGGGGCCACGTGTAGTCTCACAGCACATGAGCCAGTTTATCTGCACATTTTGGAAAGGGACTAAACTTTTCTGTGCAGCCTGGTGATGTGTGCCTGCATTTGGTGCTGCACTGAAATGTCTAAGAGCTGCTGCACTCCAGGTATCAGGAAAAGGGAGTGTGCAAATGTGTTCTGATGTCAGATACCGTATCAGAACAGATTCCTGGCATTTGACTAGTCATCTTGGTGACTAGCACGAATGCTATTTTTACATGCATAAAAATATCAACATACAAAGCTGATAACATGGGAGTTAAACACCCTCCAAAACCTAGAAAATATGCAGAATGAAATGAAAGTGTACAAGTGTAAATGTTTAAATATATATATATATATTTAAGTAGTGTGTAGAATAAAGGAAACTGAACTGTGGCAGACAGTTGGAGACTTGACACAATGTGGGTTGCTCTGCTGAGAGCTCAGCTCTTCTTTAGCTTTAGAAATGCTACAAAACATTTTCACTGAAGTTAACTGCAGAGAGTTAGAGGAAGGAAAGGCACTCAAGGGAAAATAATGGGACTGTGGGAGATTCTGCTGAGGGGCAGGTTCAAAACCTCTGTGAAACCCATGTTTTTACTCAGGGCTTGATTAGTCTGTTTTATCTTTTGGAGATTTACTGTAATGCTCATTTGTAGTCATTGTTTTGTCCAGAGAAAGTAGTATTTATAATCAGTAAGTTAGAAAATTGTGTGTTCTGCAAGGCTACTCTGGGTTACCAGTTTGATTTCCACAGTTTTGATCCATGTGTCTATTTATACCAAATCAAAACAGACTTGGGCATAAATGTGATACAGTCTCTGCTCACTTTGACTTGTGATGACATTTAGCCTGTGTTTCACCTACTTGATGTACAGGTGACAAAGACAATTACAGTTAAACAGAAAGTCCTTGATGTGACCAAACACCAGCTTTCCAAACCTTTAATTATTGTATTAACTTTTCATGAGTGCTTTGATGAGTTCATCTGCTCAGTGACTATCCTTTAATGCCATGCCTTGCACATGTAAGTTCCCTTCTGCGGTGCTTGTCCCAGAGATTCTTCACACTTTTGGCATGATGCTGGTCCAGAATAGCTTTTCATACCTGGCCAAGAAGAGCTGTGGTTCCTCTCTGGGTAAGTAATAATGACATACAGGCAGAAATGTGAAATGTCTTTTTGTGAACATTGATAGAACAAATTGCAAACCCCCCCAGCAGTGTAAAATTCAGAAATGGAACAAGGTATCTGCATGAATATATATGAGCTGACTATGGAAAATATGGTATGTAGCTGGTACATTTCAAGATGCATAAACAGAAATACAATGCTATTAGTTTTTGCCTGTCGTGAAAAATGACTGAATCAGCCAGCCCCATTGAAACCAGCCCCAAACAAAACTTGGTTGAATTGGTTAGTAAAAATAAACGATGCAAGATTCCTAATGGTTTAACAAAGGTATTCAGGAATATCCGTTTTATTTTAACCAATTGCAAATTTTTCTTTATGGCAAACTGTTTATTTGAATGTATTTTAAAGCCTCATAAAGAAAGGTGGCAAGAAAATTAAACCTACTACAACAAAAAGGTGTTTTTAATAGCTGTGTGTGCACTGGAGTCAGTTCTGATGAAAGCTGATGGTGTATTTGATTTTATCCATGCAGCAAAAATTTTTCTATTAATTCTATTCAAAGTAAAGCTGCCACTGTTTTGCCCAAGTGTGATATCATTGTTCTGTCAGCAAGTGCCTTTATTCAGTATCATGGATTAATGCCTAGCAATAGAAGAGTCTCTTTCAACTTAAAGTCTGGGTGGTATCAGCTGGCAAACACTCTTGCTGCTGATTGAGAAGCATTCATGATCCCTGGTCTTGTCTTGGGTCACGGATATTGATTTTCTCCCAGGCTCATGTTCCTGTTCACAATGCTAACTGAATGGCTGCTTTCATGGATTCCTTCAGCCCCAGATTGCCCTATATTGTCATATTCTTTGTGGCTTCATTACAGCTGTATTGTCCTAGGGAATATTCTCTGTTATTTTTTATAATTTTTTGGAGGAAGCCACAATGTGAGGTATCTTTGATAACCATTCTAGTGTAAAGATGATTGGCCTGCAAAGGTTTTTAGCTGTGTCAGTTTGCCCCTGTTACTAGCTTTTGAGATATGAACTTCTATCATCTGTCAGTGTGCTACAGTAAATACTCTCCTTAATGAGCAAAAACTTTTGGTAGGGTAGAGCTCTGCAAGAGATCTTGATATGAACAAGAGTTGGCAGTGAGGGTTCTGCTTCCTCTTTTCTGTGTGTGCAAAGAGGAGATGCAGTTGACTGATTTCTAGAAAATGTGTAACATCAGAAGCAGACTTGAAATTAGAAATGCAGAATTATTTGGACAGTCTTGCCAAGGGAAATATTCTATACTACAGACAGTTTTTTTTCCTCCTAAATCAGATGGTTATGTAAATATTACAGAAGTAAATTATTTTTAGTCAGAACTGTTAAAAGTTTCCTTTCATTGTGCTCTTAATACCTGCACTGTAAGGAAGTTCCATTAATTCTTAGAATTGTAGAGTCTGTTCAAAAAAGCCTTGTTTGTTTTTTTTTTTTTTTTGCTTCCTGACATAGGTAATTACTGAGGAATTAGCATCTTATGTGAGATTCCCCACTCTGAACGTTATGTATGTATGAAATTCTATTTTGAGGATACTAACCAAGTATGCAGAGGACTTTTGCTGGCTTTTCAACTTGGAGATGAATTCCATGAACAAAAGGTGGGTGATATTTGCTTAATTATTTATAATGATTTTTTCTCTGTTATATATATATCTTGGACTTCATAAAATCTCAGGTGCTGATTTTTTTGCTGTTGGAAGATAATCTTGCATTTTGAAGTTTCAGTGAAAACACTCATCTGGGTTTCAGCAAAGAGGAAAGGGAGAAAAAACATTTGGCATGGCAGTTTTAATTGTTGGCCCACTCTAATTTAATACCATTTAAAAACAGCATTGCAGGATTAACCCTTCATCCTTACTATTTATTGTCTAGACATATTTGCTTTGCTCTTTGACTGTGGCACTCTGCAGGGCTATAGAGTTTGGCTCATCCCTCGTTGCAGTGTCTAGCACAGCATATACAATAAATTAAAACTCATCCGGTGCTGGAACATGTACGGAGAATATATTTCTGGGTTTTTTTTCTCCCTTCAGAACATTTTTTGCTTTATTATTGGCATCCCTATTTCCCAGGAGGAAGTTCCTCCAGATAGTTCTAGATCAAAATTTATTTGATTCAAGAGTTAGATAGTTTATCAGCCTGGACTCTGAAGAACAGAGCCAACTGCACTTTGAAGGAGCTGGGTCACATTTCCTAGTCTTGTTTTGTCTTGCAGTTGATACTGTACTTTGACCAACCATCCCACCTTTATCTCTTTTGTGTCCTCAGATACCTAGCACAACTTTCTGAAGGCGTAATTTGACCTCTCATTGGATTCAATAGAGGTAGAAGTACTTCAGTGATTTATTCTTTTATTGCTTTTGGTGATGTTAATTGCATATATTTTTGCTTTACTTAATTAAGAAAAAGCTTGATTAAACTTGATAGGAAACTTGGATGGAAGGGTTGAGTTTTGATATCAGTTAGTCAAATTATTAGGGACTAATACACATTATAACTTAGAACTGAAAAAACAGGTTTTTGGTTTCTATTTAACAAAAGATTACACAGGGACAGAACTTTAAAACTTTGATGTTTTATATCTTTTTAACGGAAAAAATGAGAATAGAAAATAAAACTGGGGATGTTTGTCTTCTGAAACTGTTTATGAGCTGTTTATGCTTCATATTGTCTATGTGCTTTTTTTAATGCTTGGCAAAAAGAGAGTAATGCCCACATCATGGTGTTTCAAAAAAGGACTGATGCCTCTCCAAATCCATGGAGGCTGTTGATAGGCATTACCAGATATTAATTCAGCTGGACTATATCCGCAAAATCCTTTCCTCCGTGGGTTTTTGATAATTAGAATTAGATTAATCAACCCTCACGATTTTTAGAGATGTTCTTTGTCAAGTCGCAATCATAGAGAAACATAGAAAATTTCATAGGACACCTAGGAAATTCTGGAGTCTTTGGTAATGTCTAATGTTTTCTTTCAGGTTTTGGGTATCACTGCTTCATACATAGTCCAGTCATGGCGTGGTATTACTATTAGTATGCTTTTGGTCAGACCGGTACTACACTATTCATTTGTGTGGAGTGTGGAGGGTTACCCTAGCAGGGTGCCACCTGTCCACCCAAGCCATTCCATCACTCCTTTCCTCAACTGGACACAGAAGAAAATATAAAATGAAAGGCCTGTGAGTCAGAAAAGGGCAGGGAAAGATCACTCACCTGTTGCTGTCACAGGCAAAACAGACACAACATGGGAAATTAATTTAATTTATTACAATTTAATCAGAGTAGGATAATGAGAAATAAAACCAAATCCCAAAACACCTTCCTCCCAGACCTCCCATGTTCCCTGGGCTCAGCTTCACTTCTGAATGCTCTGCCTCCTCTCCCAATGGCACAGAGGGTCAGGGAATGGGGGCTGTGGTCTGTTCATCACTTGTTATTTTCCCCTTCTTCCTTCTTACTCTATTCCCCTGCTCCATGCTGAGGTGCCTTCCACTGGAGATAGTTCTCCACAAAGTTTTCCAATGCTGCAGTTGTTCAAGAACTCTTCAGCATGATCCCTTCTATGGGGCACAGTCCTTCAGGCATAGGCTCCTCCATGGAGGGGCAGTCCTATCAACAAACCTGCTCCAGAGTGGGCTCCTCTCTCCACAGGACCCAGGTCCTTGCCAGGAGCTTGCTCCAACATGGGCTTCCCATGAGGTCACAGCTTCCTTCAGGCATCTACGTGCTCCAGCATGGAGTCTTCCAGGCTGCAGGTGGATCTCTGCTCCATCATGGACCTCCATGGGCTGCAAGGGCACAGTTCCCTCACCACGGGCTGCAAAGGAATCTCCAGCCTTAGGAACAACTCCTCCCCTTCCTACTGCCCTGACCTTGGTGTCTGCAGAGCTGTTTCTCCCATATATTCTCACTCCCCTCTCCCAACTGCAGTTGCTGTTCCCCAGGGCATTTTCTGCCTTCTTCACCATGTTATCCCAGAGGCACTGCTAATGTTGTGAATGAGCTTGGCCTTGAATTCCAGCTGCTACTGGCTCTATAGAACACAGAGAAAGCTTCCGGCAGCTCCCAGACCTGTAGTCCCCCTGCTACCAAAACCTCACCATGCAAACCCAAAGCAATGGACAGTATAATTCCTCCTCAGAATTCTTGGTTTACTGGAAAAATGGACTCTTATGTCTTTGTGCTACAGCAAGGACAAAGCTGCTAATCTGACCTTGAGAGGGTGCATGGCAATGTCCAGGGTCTTTGGGGTGTGAAGAAGAATATCCTTTGAGTGAAGAGGTTGTTTTTGTACCAGTTCCTGTGGGTTTATTGGGTGGTTTTATTGGAGTTTTGTTCCCAAATGTGTGTGAACTTGGGATGTAAAGAAACAGCAGATGGATGGGTTGTTTTGTTCTCCTTTTTTCGTAAATGTATTGATGTCGGTTTGTACCAGTTTTGTATTTTTTTATGATTGTTGAGAAATTGTACTTTTTAACATCTATGTGTTTTTAACATAGCAGTGGCATCCCACCCATTATAAGAGAATTAATTTATATACTACTGAGTCAATAATTAGAGTTAAAGAATGGGAATGAGGATGATTGATAAGAACTGAAAACAAGAGTATGTAAAAATAATTCTTATTACATAGATTTTATATGAATTTTTTATTTTCACTATAAAAAGGCAACTTCAATCGTTCAACAGCTTAATTAAATTTCATGTATTTTTTTTTCATAGGGCTGGACTCATCAGTGAGACATATTGAACAGAAAACAAAGATATGCTTCTCTGTTTCTGTAAAAAACCAAGATAAATCTGCATAGCATAATGAGATCCCTCACAAATATCTCTGTCTTTACTTATGCCTTTGTATTCACACTATGGAATAATATCCAGCCAACTGTAGAAGATGAATTTATGGCAAATTATTCAAGCAGTTCTCTAACTAATGTTCCAAAAACCATTCCAGTCCATACTCAAGTATTAGATTTATCACATAATAGGATCTCTGGACTTAGTATTCCAGAATTTATTTATCTTTCTGACCTTCAAGTATTAAATCTTTCTCATAATCTAATTACGCTGCTTGACTTTAGTGTCTTTATTTCTAATGAAAATTTAGAATACTTAGATTTATCTTATAATAACATTTCTAAAGTTTGCTGTCTAACTCTTGCATATCTTAGACATTTAGATCTTTCTTTCAATAAGTTTACTGCCCTGCCCATTTGTCAGGAATTTGGGAACATGTTTCAATTGGAGTACATCGGATTAAGTGCTACAATGATACAAAGGTCAGACTTCAGGTATATCAGACATTTGCAGCTGCACACTGTCTTCCTGACCTTGGAAAACTTTTCACTGTATGAGCCTCAGAGTCTGACAGTCTTGACTACAAGGAACCTCCACATTGTTTTTGCAGAAAATCAAAACTTCACTTTCCCCCTCTTGTACGATGGAATGAGCACATCAGAAAACTTAAAGATAGTTAATTTAAGATATACCTTGAGCTACAGACATTTCCCCTCTCCATCTTTAATGCTTCTGAAGAAAATCAAGACAACAGCTCTCATGCTTGATGCTGTGGACCTACAGTGGCCTATCATCCTGCAAATTTTCATGCTTATTTGGTATTCACCTGTGGAACGTTTGACTGTCACAAATTTGAGTTTTCACGGACCAGTGGAGGAGCTGACTGAACATGCATTTCTACCCTTATTAAGTTCTGTGGAACAACTAATTTCTTTGGATGGCTCCATGAAAGCATTAACTTTGGAGCATGTTCGTAATAAGGTTTATTATTTCAATCAGGGGATTCTATACAGACAATTTTCAGAGTTGAATATTGCCAATTTGACAATAGCTGATGCTTATGTGCCACACATGCTTTGCCCCAATAGAACAAGCTCTTTTCAGTATATAAATTTTTCTCACAATGCCCTGACAGATGAATTGTTCCAGAATTGTGGCACTCTCGTGGATCTGAAATTACTTATTTTGAAGAAGAATAAATTTGAGAGCCTTCTCAAGGTAAGCTCCATGACGAGTCATATGAAATCACTGAAATACCTGGACATGAGCAACA